GCATTCACTCTACAGGACATGCATCGCCATCGTCGCCATCGTCGATAATCCGTCAAGCAGATGGGAGAAAAAAGTTTTCGCTGGCAGATTAATTGGATTAAGTAATAATAAGTAACGAAATTTGCTCCTCTTCGACTTCGATTTCGATCTCGATCTCGATTTCGATTTCGATCACCGGCTGACAATTGAACGCTGACGCTCGTCTCCTACCGAAGCCAAATTAATTAGGTAGCAGGGACGTTTCATGGTGATGAGTAGGACGACAACAAACTCGCATTCGATTTCGTTCATTCTTCCGTTCGATCAATCATAATCCCTGCTTCCTCATGAGAATCGTGAACGACAAACCTCCTGCCGCCGTCCCTCTCCGCCCCAAGACCCCGTTCACCTAAACTATGTGCAAAAACAGCTGCACGATAAATAAATGCGAACTTAATCCGGCATAATCACAGTTCGATAAACTCTGGAATAAATTGCATTGTATTGTATTTTACAATTGTATTGTAGGAGCAGCGGTAAATATACCGTTACAGATTGATGGGGCACACGGAATAAGTGCATGACCTCGAGTCGACGGCGGCAACTACCCTCACATTGGCATTCTATTTTTTCCTCGGTATGTGCAAGTTTTGACAAAGTCGAAGCTGATATGTCACCTGATTCCATGGCTAGAAGCACGAGAAAGAATAACAGATCTTATCAGTGCAATTCCAACGCCTCAACCGAATCGGTATCTTTCCTCTTCAAGGAATGCGTTCGCTAAGAAACCAGGATTTTCTTGATTCTTGTGCTCTTTACCATGGAATCAAAAGTATCAGCTACAAGTATGGTGTGAATTTAAGAAATTCGAAAAAATTTTACTTTTTCAAAGTTGTTCAGTATTGGCCATTCAAGCGAACTAAGCGCATGGCTGCCAGTGCATACGACGACATCATCTGGTTGACTGAATGACAGTTAGATGGTATCTACATACCTCAAAGCGAAACCTCTTTCTCCTGAAGCCAACACAACAAACCAAAGGGTTCAAACTCGACGGTTGATATGTGATCACCCTTTTTTTAAGGAGTTAAGGGATAGATTTGAGGAAACGAAGGGAAAAAACATCGGTTTTCATTAAATGGTCCTTAAACGGACTGCTATCGGCATCACGGATTCCTACTTGCAAGAAAAATTTGGCTCATCGAAATTCATTGCAAACCAGAGCCATTGAAAAGGACTGCTAATTTCTGAACAATGGTATATGTAGAAATATACCGTTTAGTCATCTCATTCATTCTTCGATGATGAACTCTGATTGCGCAAATGGAACGCTCTGTGCTCCGTTTACTTTCAGATTCATTTTATCGTTTTTTTTAGCGAGGTAGGGCAGTCCAATGCGGCATTTTTTTATTAATGCTGGGAGGCAGTTCCTTTAATCCTCAGATGCTCGGCAATGTATTCATTGTCGGAGTCCAATGCTTTTCCATCACTACGTGTTAATAGCCTGCCGGCACTTGTAGAAGCCAGTTTCTTTCAGCCTAGTCATGATCACTTCTCCGAGCTGACCACAATCCTCCATCTTAAGCTTCCTTCAGCCCTCAGATCTGGAGCCGTACCGTGTCTTTTTTCAAGACGGTGGCAAAATGGGCGACTAATCATTTGCTATGACAGATTCTGACCCGGTTTCGATACCGCCATCCGAAAGCCTTATTTCGAAAGGTGGCCCAGTCGTTTGGACAATCGAAAGCTGTAGGTTCGAATCCTGACGTCGGGGCAGCTCGCTTTAAATTCTGATGAATTAAGGACGTGAGTATCGGCTTGTATGAA